CGAGTTGTCACCGAGCAGAAACGGGAGATGGAAGCATGTATATATATATATATATATACATACACAAAGTTGACTCAGACAACAAAGTAAAGCTAGTTTTCAGCTATGAGCCTGACATTTTACTACAGCTTGGAGCCACGGACCTGTTTTATATACGCGTGGAAGAGTTTTTTATACGAGATCGCTGCAAAAAGTGCAGCCTTACCTAATGTCCACCTACTGTTGCTCATTTTATATTAAGATTTAAAAATCTAGTCGGTATTGGTATGGCGAGTAACCTTCAGTAATAGTAATAAATCACACAGCAATAGTACATTCATGTAATTGTAAAAAGCATGATAATATATTAAGAAATCCAAAGTATTCAGAATACGTTACTCTCATTGAGTAACTTAAGAGAATACGTTACAAAATACATTTTGGGGCATGTATTCTGTAATCTGTAGTGGAATACATTTTAAAAGTAACCTTCCCAACACTGCTGATCACTCCATTCAAAACTTGACAAGTTGGGGAAAAAACTCAAACTCCCAAGAACTTAAATAATGCCCAGGAAATATTTAAACAACTAATTATTAACTAAAGATGTATTTCCTGCATTTTCAAAATTCACATTTACAAATGTGGGCATTTCACTATTAAACATATTTACTTAGGGATCAATAAAGTATGCTGATTCTGATTATCATTATTGTGCATGAAATAAATTAACAAATGGCATGAACATTTTTACTACCAAGTACAAGTTTTACACAAGCTTGCACCTTTGTGTGAATGTTTTCTGAGAGAGAAAAGTAAAGTAGGCTCTTTTTACCTTACAATATAAAGTGCCTTGAAGCAACTGTTGTTGTGAAATGAACTTAATTAAACCAGATGCTTCTGAACTCATTTGAAAAACCACCTGCTGTATTTGACATAGATTGCCATGTTTGAAAAAAAACAACAAAAAACTAGCAACTAAATTGAAGCACGTTGAGCCTAAGAAGCAAAAAGGCTAAAAGAAAACTGTTCCTGCTACCTGATGCCTGGAAAGGTTATCTGGAAAATCATTTAAAACGTGCATACCACACTAAAAAAACTTTCTAGATTGTTTTCTAAATCTAAATTGTTATAGGAATTAGACAGTAAATGAACCCAATATCCAATGGCTAATTGCATTATTTGAATTAACACTGCCCAATCAACTGTGGAACTCACCATGGTGGATATCTTTCATGTCAAGGTGCAGAGAGGACATGAGGATTCCTACAGCCTGAGAACGTTTATTGTTTAGGAGCTTAACAACCTAAAACAAAAATAAAACAGGAAAATCAGACAGGTTAGATGCTTTCATAGGAAGTGGAGTGTAACGTAATATACTATATGTAATCTAAGAATAAATTGAAAGAATTATTAAAAGCTCCAGAAGAGAAGGCGTTTGGAAAGGGAGGGGGATGAGTGTGTATGAGTGTGTATGAGTGTATGTGTATGCATGTGTGTGTC